TCATCTGAGTAGAGTATCTCCGGTGCCATTTCCTTTCTCTTGAATCTCCCTCATTCTTACACCATATAATTGGCCTGTGGTGCTTATTTCCCAAGTAAGATAAGAAAGGAAACCACCTGGAATATTAAAGGCCATGGAGTCAAGAGAAAGAAGATAAGAAATAAAAGGATACCTGTCTAGACAAACATGAGTGGAAGAGAGCTCTCTGGCATCGGTCTGTATCAGTGAACACCAAGAGCTGAACTCTCTGCAAGAGGAGCTCTTCTGTGTGAGCGATTTGGGGACAGCCATGCAGAATTGCTTGCTCTTTGCTTCTCAAGGTCTACCTCTGGAAAATTCCAAATCCCAGGTTCAGCATGGCATCATGTCCAACACATCATGGTTATCTAAGCAGTGATAGCTAAGGAGGCACCTAAGGGCAATGTTAGAGAGGCTGCACCTTAGCTCTGAGTGGAGAGAGAAACAGAGCATCACAGGAGCCAGAGATGGAGCATGAGCTAAAAGCCACAGAAAGCTTGCAACTAAAGGGTTAAAGCAGGAATGAAGCCTTTAGTATCAGGGGCCATGGATGGATGGATGACACCCAGAAGACAACCTCAATAGACAGCCATTCAATGTGCCCAGGGACCAAGCTAAGCCCTCTGGAGTACATTGAGAACTACAGGAGCTCTTGGACCAGGATCCTGCCCCATCTGTACATTCTTTCCTGCCACCTCCATGGACATGGACATCTATAAGCTCACACCTGCACCCAGACACCGTCTTAGGAAAGAAGGAAAAGGGAAGTTTTTTGATTGAGAAGAGACACTGTATTCATAGAGGGCTTGAGTTTAACTTAACTATCAACCCAAACATGACTGGATTTGGCAAGAAGAGATGACACAAATCCAAAACCAACTGAGTTGCCTTTAATTGGCAGTTTAAGGATTCTGTTCCACCTCTAGGAGGAATGGAGTTGCAAGAGCAAAGTAAGATTGGTTGTTGCCAAAGGAAATTATGTTATTTTGCACATCAGAGTTGTGTGCCAATTTTATATTTTCTGCTATAATTATTTCATTTATTCATTCCTTTATTCATCCCACAAGCATTTATTGAGCACCTACTCTCTGTCAGGCAATGGAAAAAGAAATGAATAAGATTATTTGGCCTAAGCATAGAGAGTGGGGTGAGAGGCACTACCCATAATCCCAGTGCAAGGTAAAGGTGCTGTGATAGAGGCCAGCCCAGGAGAAAAGCACAGGGCACCTGGTCCAGCCTGGGTGGGCAGTCAGAGAAGAGTTGCTGAAAGAGTCAGTGCCTAACTTGAACCTTTAGGGTAAGTGGGAGTTGACCATGTGGAAAAGGACAGACAGGAATAGTAGCATTCATTCCTGTGTTTATTCATTCATTTAACTAATATGTATTGGGTGCCTACTAAATTAAAGTGGGGATACAGCAGTGAATGAAACAGATGAGAGCCTTGCCTTTGAAGAACTTCTAGTGAGAGGAGAGAGACAGTTAAAAACAAAAACAAAACAAAACAAAAACCAGAACCAATATGTATATAATACCACCAGATAGTGATAGAAGAACATATAATATTTGTGTAGTAAGGACACAGAAAAGGCAATCCAGGGAGGTAGGAAAGGGGCCAGAGGTTATTTTGAATGAGGTGACATCTGAATGGGGATCTGTTTGAAATGAGAGTCTTAAACATGCGACCACCTAGAGGTACAACATTTGGGGCAGAGGGAAGAGCAAGTGCAAAAGCTCCACGTCTGGAGTTTTCTTGACAAGTTCAAAGAATGCTAAGACAGAGTGGCTGGAGCTGAGACAGAGAGAAAGAGAGGTCAGAAAGCAGGTGGAAAGGTATCCAGGGTCAGGGCAGACAGAGCCTGGCAGACCATCATAAGGAGTCTGGTAGGGAAATGGTAGGGAGCATTGGGGGACTTACAGATAGTAAAGTGCACACTAGATATCATAAGGGAACGAGCTAGAGTGGTAAGCTGGAGGCCTAACACAAAAAACTTCACCAAAAAGAGTTCGCTCAGTCAAGAGTTGAGATTTATAGTGAGTATAATGGAAACATTGAGTTGATGTGATCAGATTAGGATTTTGGGGAAAATGATTTGTGTGCATTTTGGAGCATGGATTAGAAGAACAGGGGAGTCATATAGGAAACAGGGAGCAAAAGAAGAACATGGACAAACCAGTTGAAGAGGTTTCTAGTCATCCAGGTGGGAAAGATGACAACCGAGAAGCTACAACAGAACTGGGGATGAGGTAGGGGAGTGGGATCAAAGCAGAGTGAGATGGAACCAGAGCTTGGCAGGATCTGAAAGGTAAGGGAGATGGAAGAGACTGGTTTTCTTCTCCCTGCAAGTAATCCAGTCCATTCCCATGAACTTAAACACCGTTCCTAAGATAACACCTCCCAAACGTCTATCTCCAGACCACATCTCACCTCTGTGCTCTCATCCCCAGCTGCCTCGTGGGCTTCTCTGTTGCCCCACAGGTATTTCATGTGTTCAATCAAAAGTCTCCCTCCTCCAACTGATACCTAGGAGTTAGTATCCTTCCCTCCCCATGACCGCTCCATTATAAGTCCTAACATATACAAATGCAATTTGAGTCTGTTCATTTCTGCTAGATCCATGGCCATCACCTTAGCCACAGTCACTGTCATTTTCTACTCAAACCAGAAGTTCTAAAATGGAATGCAGATGATAATTTATTGTCTAGATCCAGACAATATCTGAACTTCTACTTATGTTTATTGTAGCATATCCTTTGTAGTTTGTTTTTGGGTTTATTTCTTAAACCATTCCTTTAGTTAATGAGAGAAAGTTCTTTAATGAAGAATATCAGCTAATAAGGGCAGAAGGGTAGCATTAGAAAATTACTGTTCTGCAACTCCTTATTAAAATAATTGATCTAGTCCACAACCAGCAATGGTTGCAAATATCATTCAGTGAAAAAGTGAGGGGGAACTTTATAATTGAAAATAAAGCTGCAACACCTAAACACAGAGATCAACCTTAACATCAGTGAATGCTGGATAACTAGATACTTTGTGGCTCCTAATGAGATTAACACTTGAGAAGTATAAAAGTAGATGGAGCCCTGGAACCATCTGAAAGTCTCTTCCTATGATCCCTACAGTTGCCATAGTGACTGATCTCCAATATCCATTATACTACAGGAAGTATATAGCAGCTTCCTATGAAATAGTGTTGCCTCCTCCCTCTCCTCCTCCCCCAACAAACCTGGAATCTGAATGTCATCAAGCGTTTACATTTGATAGCAATATGGGAGGTGACATCCAAAGAGATGACCAGCCAAACCCAGAATGTAGGGAAATTCTATAAGACAAACAACCCAGTGCATTGGTTAGGGACTCAGTGGGGAAACAGATGGCCTACTCTGGCTTAAGCTAGAAGCAAACAGATTTGTTTCTAAAGCAGAGGCCCAGCAGTAGGATGGGCTCTGGGGTTGGCTGATTCAGAGATGTGGTGATGCCACATTCCAAGATTCCTTCCACCTCTCCCCCCTTGCTCCATAGCACTGGCCTCACCTTGAGTCTGGTTCCCATTGTCCTTACTGTGGATGCCATGGCAATCAGGACACATGTCTTCTTTCCCCTCTAGTGAGGGAGAGAAGAAAGCTAGACACCCAAGAAAGATTCTTTACTGCCATCTCCAGTAGCCTCTCCTCAGGACCTAGGGGCCCCCTCATAGCTACCTGGGAAGGAGAAACTGATACCCATCAGCTAGGGTGGAATGGATATTGGAGATTAGTCACTATGGCAACTATAGGAGTCATAGAAAGAGGCTTTCAGATGGTTCCAGGGCTCCATCTACTTGTATGCTCTTGACGTGTTAACAAATGGAGCTGCTCTGTTTATCTGTTGTTGTACAACAAATGACCCCAAACTTAGTGGCTTGAAGTGCAATTATTTCATGATATCTCACAGTTTATGGGGACTGAATTCAAGCAGAGCTCAGTTGGGAGATACTTTAGCTTCATGTGGCTTTGACTGGGGTCACTCAGTGGTTTTCAGCTGGCAGCTAGGCTGGTCTGAGGGTTCCCTGGATGTCATCTCTCACATAATTGGCCCTGTGGGGACAGCTGGAGGCTGGGCTCAGCTGGTGCCTCTCCCCCTCTGTGTAGTCGCAGGGCCTCTCCATATGGTCTATGCAGCAGAGGAGCTGAACTTCTCACATGGTGGGTCAGTTTGCTGTCCAGCTGTAAGTGATGGAGAAATTGTGAAATAAAAGAAGATTTCAAATGTTATCTTCAGTATGTGTAATAAACATAAAGAATGGGCATGCTTTTTTATCCCCCATAAATTAAGAGTACTGTATTTCCTTGCAAGAGGAACAGATTTTACAGTGTGAATCAACCCTTGTTCAAACTGGACACATCAAATCTAGCACTATGGGAGTGTTATTTGGAAGTGAACTTTTTAACTATTAATACAAATGTCAAGATGCTATGCAAAACATCCACAGGAATTTTTTTCATCTTAAAAAAAATTATTGATGCCAAAACCGGTTTGGCTCAGTGGATAGAGTGTCGACCTGTGGACTGAAGGGTTCGATTCCGGTCAGGGTCGTGTGCCTTGGTTGTGGGCACATCCCCAGTAGGGGGTGTGCAAAAGGCAGCTGATAGATGATTCTCTCTCATAGATGTTTTTAACTCTCTATCCTTCTCTCTTCCTCTCTGTAAAAAAATCAATAAAATATATTTTTTAAAAATCGTTCACAAACATTTCCTACACAATCCAACATACAACAAAGAAATAGTCTTTTCTTTCAATTACATACAATGGAAAAATAAGAATATAAATCTACATATATATTGTATATGTAGGCAGACTGACAGTTGAAGTCTATAGGTGAGAAGTTATCTACTAAACTAATCAGAATTTATTTAGCATCAGTCACTCCATAACCAAGTATTATTCTGGCTAATAAACTTGCTGCTATCAGGCTTCTGGTACATACTGACATCATTATCAGTGTGTAGTGCTGCTTCCCACCTTGGTTCTTCACAATTACTAACATAGGAAACTTGCAAAGGAGGGGCAAGCATTTGCAAAAAAAACAAACAAAAAAAAGACCAAAAAACAAAAAAAACAACAACACTCACACAAAACAAACAAACCCCAAAAAACAAATCCCAGCTTAGAGTAAGCATGAAGGTGTATGATGAGATTTCTTCCCAAGCAGTGGACTTTCAAAGCATCAAGAAATCACCAGAACTGAATTTGCCAAGATATTTTTGTATAGTCCAAGAAGAGGTGCATTTGCTTATTCCAACAGAGGAGCTGAATATCAAACTTAGAGCTTGCATTGGGGGTGGGTTAGGGAATTCGACCATTTGAAAAATTATCATCTTAAAAAAATGACCACCAAAAATAGATTCTCTAAATTTATTTTAAAAATCATAAAAATGTTTCTTACAAAAGAGCATTACCTTCCACACCCTGCTCTGAATTGATGCCAGGGACATGTGGACTCTTTCCTCCCTGCACCTGCCCCAAGTGCTACAGTGACCACAAAGCCAAGTGTTCACAATAATTGCACAGGGGTTTTCCTTTTTCACCTCCCACAGTGACCGAGAATTAAAATTCACTCGTTGGGCTGCTGTTTCAAAATTTCAATGTTAGATTTTGCATACCCTCCTCCAACCCTATTTGTAAGGAACTAAAACATTACACCTGTGGGACAACAAAGATTCCACCGCACCTCCAATGCAGAACCCTATACAGCGGAGGAATGGTGGCCTTATACACAGAAGCAGGTTGAAAGAAAGCGAGATTCCTTCAGTTCTTAGAAAACTTTCCATGATACCACTTTGCAAAGTTCTACAGTAAATACTGTGCATTTATCTAGTCCTGTGTTCCCGTAGTGGAAACCTTCTCATTGGTCTTTGGATCCTCTAAGGCTCATCAGTTTTGATCGAAGCTCCTGATGCAGGATGAATCTGCGTAATCGCTGACCAACTTTGCCAATAACAAATCCAGCCAAATCTCTGGGAATAGTTACTTGTGTGGTAATAACAGGTCTACCCAGATTGCTGTATGAGCCACAACTGGGATAATCACATCTGGAGCCGGCCTGTGGTTCACAAGCCATCTGCCATTCTGGAGGGCTCCTTGTTTCGGATGCAGAGTCCCAAGTTTCATCAGCAAGGAAGTCAACCGTGAGCATGCAATTTTTAACAATAGATATGTTGTTTCTCTCCAGGCCCACTGAATAGATGTGCCCATTTCCCCTGAAGAGGTGCTGCTCTGTCACTAGCAGAGGTGCCCATGACCTGAGTTGTGTGAGCTGTGGGGCCCTCTTTCCTTGTCACCCCTGTGTGGTCCAGGGCACCATCGCCCCTTCCTCCTGCCACTCCCCCCACCCCTCAACCCCAATGGTATTCCAGCAGCCTCCACTCTGAGTTCCCTGCTGCAGCTTTGCAGCTTTACCCTCTTCCGTTCATTCTCTATATTGCTTTCCAATGTGATTTTTCTGAGACCCAAGCCTGCCCAGACCACTCCCTTGCCTAAAGTCAATATTAGGTTTGCTTTCAACAACCAGATAAAATTCAAATTCCTCAGTAAGACTTATACTTTTTTTTTTTTTCCTATCTTGGATCAAATTCCCCAATTATCACTGGAATGTAAGGACCCAGAGGGCAGGAATCTTATCTCTCTCTTTCTCTGTTCTATCCCTAGCTCAGAGACCTAGCCTGGCACTTAGTAGGTGCTTAATAAGTACTTTAGGGAGGAAAAGAGGGACAGAGAATGGAAGGAAGGAAAGAAAGCAGCTAGTTTCACCTGTCATGATTTTATTTCTAGTTTAATGTCCGGCTTCCTCGCTGGATTATAAGGCCCCAGGGGGTAATGGACACATCATATTCACTGCTTCTAATGCAGTGCCTGCAGCTAAGTAGGTGCTCAAAAAATGTCTAAATGAGTTAATAATGTGATAAGTGCTTAAGGTACACACACACACACACACACACACACACACACACACAGAAGGATGAGCCCTCAAGGAAATGCCAGCAGATTCTCCAGAGCTTGGGGTGGAAGTGGGAAGTCAGTCACAAGGAGGCACATGAGCCCTGGGAGGGCGATACCCTCTAGACCCAGCCTTGTGCCTCTAGACCCAGCCTCCCGGGAATGTAGGTGCCTGGCTACCTATAGGCCTAAGGCTCTGGAAGTCGAGTCCTTTGCTTCATTTTGGAATCCCTAGTTTTCTTATTTGACACAAGTATCCAACCCTGCTGGTTTTTTTCCCAAGAGAGGGAGTCTTTGGAAGTGATGCATGGACTGCCTTGTCTCAGCCTTCTGGAATGTGACCTCATTCCTTTCCCAGGTCGATCCCTTCATTAAACAGCCTGCCCGGTCCTGCTCCATCAGGCAGCCTGCCAGGTGTACACTTGGCATGGGAGTCCCAGTTCAGGGGCCTCAGCAGCCTTTACAGTGTAAGTGTGGAATTCAGAGACACATAGACCCAGGTTTGGGTTCTGGATACATCACTGACACCTGTGTGGTTTTAGGCAAGTTACTTTGTTGTCTGAACCTTGATTTCTTCATCTGGAAAATGGAGCTAATAATAGTGCCCAATGCATTACATGTCTGTGAGGATTAAAGTAGATAATCCGTGAGCCTGCACCACAGAGAGCTCGGAAAACGTTGAGTATTCTTTACCTATTCAAGGACTTCTCTTGCCCTTTTGGCAGGTCTTAAATTTCTCTAGGGTGGAGCAGGGGAGGAGGGGAGAATTGGCATGGATTAGCACAGGACCAGGCGCTGTTGTTGGCCTGTCTGAGAGAGTTATCTCCCCAAACCACATGTCCTTCCCATGTTGTCCTGTGAAACAGCCCAATTTTCCAGTGGAAGAAATGCCAATTGAGAGAACACAATCAGGAATCCAGGCTCTGAAACACCTGCCATGTGAGTCTGGCAAGGATCTTCCCCCCCTCCTTTCTCTCCCCCCTTTCAAGGTTCTCACCTATTGTGGCAAGTCTTGTCTGATAGGCTTGCTGTGTGGAGGATCTGAGAGAATACTATGTAAAATGCAGAGCCCAGTGTCTTCATTCCCTAGGGGGCTCCTGCTCTCAGTCAGTGACTAAGAACATGGGGACAAGCCAGGGAGGAGCACTCCAGGGCATCAGGATTCTCACTCCCAGGGAATGGGGCTGCTATAAACACCCTAAGTGTACTTCCCATTAGGGTGGTGAGAAGACTCACAGGGCTGGCAGGCTTCACCCCTGACCTCTCTGGCTCCAGGGAATGAGAGGCCTCCTCCTCCTCCTCCTCCTCTTCCTTCTCCTCCTCCTCTTCCTCCTCCTCCTCTTCCTCCTCCTCCTCCTCCTCCTCCTCCTTCTCCTCCTCCTCTTCCTCCTCCTCCTCTTCCTCCTCCTCCTCCTCCTCCTCCATCTCCTCCTCCTCCTCCTCCTCCGGGATGGGAGCACAGCAGTTCTAAAGGTCAGCATACCTGGGCTTAGCTTTGGCTATGCCACTCAACAGACATGGGACTTTGACAAGTCCTCCTTATCACTCTGAGCTTCAATTCCCCATCCAAAATGCGGACAATACCATGTGTTCTGGTTACCTCCTGTATAACAAACCTCCCCAGAACATGCTCAAGGCCCTTCATGATGTGGCTCTCATGGACCTGTGCAGTCTTGGCTGGCCATGTCCTCCTGACACCCCAGCCATGTGATTTCGTCCCACCCTTTAGTCCACACCACTCTTTCTCCCCTCTCCTCCCACTCCCTGCCCCCAATTCCCACCTGTCTGGTAACCCTTATTCATATTTCAAAGTTCCCTTTGAATATCATCTTCTCCAGGAAGCTTGTCCCAATTCTCCCCTCCCATTGCTCCCTCCATACCCCTTCTGTGTGCTCCCATAAATCCTGTGCTCACTGCACACTGGCCTTTCTGCCACTCCCCACACAGGCCATGCACATTCCAGACTCAGGGCCTTTGCATGTGCTGTGCCCTCTGCCTAGATGCTCACTTTCTAAATATTCACTAAATAACTAGTTTCCTTAGTTCATCCAGGTCTCTGTTCAAATCTCCTGTCGCCAGAAAAGCCTGCCATAACCAGCCTATCAAAATTGCACTCCTCTGCACTGTCCCTCCCCGCCACCTGCTTCTTTCCTCCCAAAGCACTTTTCATCTGCCACAGTGTCTGCACTGCTGTGCGAAGCCACCCCCCAGAAAGGTACAAGAGTCACCAGTGGGCATCTCTCCCAAATTGGCATTCAGTGATGCTATGTGGCAGTAGCTGACGTTAGCCATGGGGAGAGTATTTACATAAAAAAAATTATGGTGTTCTCTCTCTCTCTCTCTCCTCTCTACAAAAACCTGTTTATAAACATCTATACCTGCACACTACTGTGTACGTGTATTTGTTTATTGTTCATCTACCCCTCCCCCTGCCCAGATTATAATTTCCATAAAGGAGACTTTAATAATGCTGTGTTCCCAGAGTCTAGCGCAGTGCCTGACACCAGGGCATGTTCAGTAATGTTTGTTGAATGAATGAACAAATATGCAAGCAGCCAATGAATAACAATAATCACATACAAGTGTAAATTGAGGCTCTTGAAAGCAGAAATTCAATCTTTTTGTCAACTTTCACATACGACACAGGGCCTGGCCCGTAGAAGCTCAGGAAATGTTGATAAACCAGTTTAATGCACTTGCAAAGGCTTGTATCCAGGTCAAATCCAGTTTCACCCTGATGAGCATAAAAAAACAAACAACAAAAAACTGGACTGGACAGCTCCTCGGGTAGTTTCCATTACGTGCCAAAAACAGAAGCCGACTTCCTAATGCCAGGGCCTCTGCTTGCCCTCTTCCCTCCCCCCACCCGGCCCCTGGTTTTCCTATCAACACAATGATGCCACTGGGAACAGATGATTGAGTCCCTTCTAAGTCACTAACTATGGTTGAGTTTGTGTCTGGAGCTGTCCCAGGCAGGGCTGCTCTGAAGTAGGGTAGGTGTGGGCAGGCAGAAGTTAGCTCACCTGGTGGAACCAGCCTGTAGGCACAAGAGTCAGGGTGTTCCCCAGGCCCCACGGCTGGGAGGCGAC